CCAGGGGCGCTGGGCGCGGGCGGCGCCGGGGGCCGGAGCGACTTCGCGGGCGCAGGTCTCGCTCATCAGCACGTCGTTCGTGCTCAAGGGGGACGCGACACACAACCAGGCGATGGTGCACTGGACGGGCGAGAACAGCAGCGTAAGTGACCTCCGCGCGCTCCCCTGCCCGGGACGCCTCGGGGCACCCCGGGGGGACGGCCACAGCCCCCCACTTCCCGACCACCCGGCGGTCATCCCTGGCGTTCTGGGCGACTTGGGGACGTGGGTCACCTCGGCGGCGCCCCTACTGGTCTCAGGGCACCGGTTACTTGAGGAGAGGTCCCCGGATATGTGAGCCTGTGTTCCACTTCGGGGGGACGTTTCTGCAGATTTAAGGACCCCGAGCCACCTCGGGGTCCCTCCCCACGTCTGCAGCTCCCGGTTTAACTGGAAGGTCCCCAGAGACTAGGGGCCCCGGCCACCTCGGGGCGCCTCCAGATCCTTCAGGATCACCTCAGCTTTGTGTCGCCCGGGTCTCCTCCACACTCCACGGTGTCCGCTCAGCGTCGCGTTCTGGGACTTCTGGCTCCCGGATCCTCCCCACCCTGGTTTACCCTGGACCCCGCGGGTGGCGCCTCCGGGGGCTCTAGGACTTCCCCGGCCAGCTAGGCGTCCTATGCTGGGACTCTCGATGCTGGGGTTACCCTTATCCCCAGAATCCCCTAGTGTGCGCGCCAGGGCGCCCCGACCCGCGTACCCCCGGGGTTCAGCGCCTCCGAGTCCTAAACACATCTCAGGCTGCCGCAAACTCCTGGCCGTCCCCCACCTTCCCGTCCACTTTGGTGTCCCTCCACATGTAAGTTTGCCACCCTCCCCCACGGCCACCTCTGCTAGGGACCTCGGCTCTCCACCCACCGGCGCTGTGTTCTCCTTCCCCCATCTTGCCCCATCCTTTGGTGGTGTGTCCCCGGGAATGGGGGTCTCTTTCTGTTCCTCTCCCGGTGGCTGCCAAAGCCTCGCTTTTTCTGTGAAATGGCTGATGGTCATTCTGGGGTCACTTCTGGGCAGCCCCAGGTGGGTTCTCTACAGTTTTGCAGATTTGGGAGAAGGATGGGGCAGGGAGGTGGCAGCTGTGAGTCTCCAGGGGAGTGCACGTTTGTATGGGGAGGGGAGATGGGACCCTTGCACGGCTGTCCAGCACTGCAGTCTCCCCCAGTGCCTGACCCCCACCTCTTCTCCTTGCTCCCCAGGGTTCTGAAGAGTAAGCTCCAGGCCAGGGTGCTTGCTGCACTGGGGGTGGAGTGGGTGGGACCACCAGCTTCTGTAGCCAGGAAAGGGCATGACCTGGGCTGGGCAGCACTGGTACCCCCTCCTCTGTCCAGCCCCACCTGCCACTTCCTGGGGGCTGCGATTTGTGCTAGAGAAGGGATGGCGTGGGCAGATGACTATGTTGGGGCAGAGAGCAGCACTGAATGGATTCGACTGGCCCAGATCCCAGGGTCCTGCCAGCCCCATCCCCAACCGACTGATAGCTGCTGGGAGGCAAGTCTCTGGTCTTGGGTCATTTCTGGCATCCCAAGTTAGACTAGCAGCCCTCAGAGGGCACAGTTGACTCCCCAGGCACAGCAGACCAGAGGGCAGTCAGGGTGCTGATGGAAGGGGGAGCTTACAGAAGGCAGCAGGTGCCCCCTCCCTAGCAGAGCCCTAAGGGTGCCCTCCCCATCTGCATCTTGAGAGAAGGGACAGACCCCAGGGGTGCAGCTGGACCCAGCCCTTCCTTACTCCCAGTACGTGTGAACAAACCATGTCCCCTGAGCCAGAGCCGAAAGGTAAACCAAAAACCAAGAACTCAAAAGACCAAATAAACATTAAAAGTAAATCCTGTGGAGCCAGAAATATCTGTCCCCCCACCCCCATGCCCACCTCCATCTCAGGCTGTTGATCCAGCAGCTTACTCCTGTCCTTTTGTCATTTAGCTTCATGGGAGGAATGGGGGTGACACTAAGACCCTGGGCTGCAGGAGCCACAGGAGATGGGGCCAGCTGCCTTCAGGATGGCTGGCAGCCAGCCTGACCCCATTCTGAGCTCAGAGCCTGGGCACAGTGTGTGTCGCTTCCTTGCAGAGAGTTAACAGGGGAGCTTGGGCCAGTGGGGCTGGGCACTGGGGGTCGGGGAGGAGCCCACCTGGCTTTGCCCCTTGAGGGAGGTGGCTGGGTTGAGTGATTCTTTTGTGACTGGGCAGGCTTGTATTATGGCTGCTGGCAGGTGGATGCTGGGGGGTAGTTGTGAGTGTAGGTTGTGAACAAGCATGGGCTTCTCTTGAGAGGGGGTCAGGAAGTCCAGGGAACCAGAGAAGAGCTCTGAGGGGTGCATCTGCTCTGGCCAGTGGGAAGTAAGGGGCAGGGGTGAGGTGTGGAGAGTGGGGCATAGCCTGGCACTTAGCACACACCTAGGTGGCAGGAGCCAGGACCGCCCCCATATTACAATGAGCGAGCGTGGGCGTCTGTGGGGTCAAGAGAAGGGGACAGCTTTGAAATGCTGGCCCAGGCATTTGGCTTAAACACCTTCCTGCTCCTGCCTCCCCCATGCATCTGTTCTCTGGACCAGGCCGTCGGGGAAGAGGGGCATTCTTTCTGGAAAAGCAGATCACCTGTGGCTGAAGGCAGGTGAGGCTTTAGCGTGTCCTCGCCTGGAGAAGCAGTGGGAGAGAGGGTGAAAGCTGGCACCGAGGGCTAACTCAGTAAGATTGGTTTTTAAAATTGTTACTTTCTCGGTGCTGGCTGCCTGCACAGCATTGCTTTCTTGGCAGGCAAAGGAGCTTAGGGATGCACTTTGCCCCTCTGTTCTCAGCGTGCAGCCACAGGGCCAAAGGTTTTAGCTGGAATTTGGCAGTTGGCTTCACCTGCACTTGGAAGCACCATCTTTGAAAGCTACCCCTGGAAAGAAACTAACTTGAGCCGAGTCTTTCTACAACTTCATTTCATTTTGCTTGCTCACGGCCCTCTGCAGGTGTGGTCAAATGAGCAGAGAGAGTGTTTACTTTACCGTGTCAGGTGTTTTTCACAATGAAAAAAAGCATTTGATGAGGGAGATGGGCTTTTTAGCATGACATTTGAGAGCATCCCACAAAAAAAAATTGCAGGATTTGAGCGGGTTTGGAGACAAGCTCTGTCCCTGCAGCTCCATGAACATATGTGAGTTTTCCTTCCAATGGCTTGATTCTTCCTGCTCCCATGGAGACATGGGAGGGGACTTGCTTGGAAGTTCAGACGCTGCTTTTCTGACTGACGTTTGGCTGTAGAAACAAATTGCTATGTGTGAAATTAATGTTTCATTGAGATCAACCGGCATTGCCTTTTTATGAGTCCAGAATGGGTCGTGCACAGCGGCCCCTGGTTTTGCATCTCCTGAGCTGCCGTCAGAGGCAGTGGTGTTATTGGAAGGTGGGTAAATATTGCAGAGTGCTGCTGATCTGTGCCTCTGGGCTTGCAGTTTCATGTTACCCTGATGGGAAGGTGTTGTGCCCCGTCCCCATTTTACTGTTTCTGGGGAAATCACGTGCTCACTGTGCTTATTTTAAGCGCAGCTCACCTGGGCTCCCTCCCTCGCGGCTCTTGAACTTCACCTAGGATGCATCACTTGAACGTGCAGCAGGCAGAGAGCACTTACCGGACCCTGCCTCGCCTCTCCACTCCCCTGCGCTGTCCTCTCCCCTCCTGTCCTCCCCCCTCCTCATTTCCCAGATCTGCTCTGTGCTGTGTCTACACAGTTGGGGATGTCAAAGGGAGTCGTATGCAGAGATAATTCTGAGCAGATTACCCACACTGTCTGCTCTGGGGTCTTGATGACCCCGATATGTGTGCACACTGTATACCAGAGAGCTAGAGCTACAAATCGGAGGAGCTTCTGAAGTTGGTTTCTCTAAGTTCAAAGGTGAAGGACAGGCCGTCAGCTTCAGTTTTTTCTGTTACAGCACCCATAGCCTCTCCCCAAGTTGTGTGGGAACTTGGTTATGATACTTGTCCAATGTCACTTTCCTTGAGGGCAGGTGTATTGGTTTGCATGGGCTGTCATGACAAAGTGCCACACACTGGGGTGCTTAAACCACGGAAATGTACTTTCTCATAATCCTGGAGGCTGGAAGCCTGAGATCAAGGTGTGGGCAGGGCTGGTTCCTTCTGAAGCCTCTCTCCTTGGCTTGCAGATGGCCGTCTTCTCTCTGTGTCTTCACATGGTCGTCCCTCTGTGTGTCTGTGTCCTAATCTCCGCTTCTTATAAGGACACCAGTCATATGGATTAAGGCCCACCCTGACGGCCTCATTTTAACCGAATTATCTCTTTAAAGGCCCTTTCTCCAAATACAGTCACATTCTGAGGGGCTGGGTGTTAGGACTTCAACATATGGATTTGGGAGGGGCACAGTTCAGCCCCTAATAGCAGGGAAGGGGTCTTGGTTACCTTTGCATTTCCTGAGCTTAGTGCAGTGGAGCTCGGAGTAGTCTAGTGGGAGGGAAGAGATGGCCATTATCAGTTAGGATGTGAGGAGCGGGTGTCACGTTCCCCTGAGGACACTGACGGGGAAATTAGGGAAGACTGCGTGGAAGAGGTGGCATCAGGGCTGGCCTAAAGGATGAGCAGGTGGAGTGCACGGGAGATGGAGAAGGACACTGCAGCGGGAGGAACGGCTTGAGCAAGGGAGGTAGGAGTTTGAAGGCACATTTGTTTCTTATAAAGAGATAGTGAGCACATTGTGCATGGAGATGAACCAGAGGAAGGAAATTTGGAAAAAATGGGTTGCAGACACCTCCCGATGGACTGCACAGCTGAGGCCGAAGAACCCAGCATGGCAGTGTGGGGTGGTGGATATCGACAGCAAGCAGCTTGTCTGGGTTAGTGTCCTGGTGCCCCTTCTCGGCTCTGGGATCCTGGGCAAACGGACTAAATTCTCTAGACCTCCATGTCCACATCTTGAAAGCTGGAGAAGTAGAGACTCGTGGGTTTGTCCTGCTTAGATAAGAGCCTGCTCCCTAGCAAGAGCTCAGTAAAGACGTCAAGGTCGGGAGTGATTCATAAGGAGCCCCGGGGGCAGTCGAGGCAGGGCATGGTGGGGGCCACTGGGTGAGCCCTCTGGACTGAGCTCAGGGAGGAGGCTGCTGTGAC